ATTTTTGTTGGCAAGTTAAATTTTTTTATTTTTCATTAGAAATTCTCTCCATGGAACAAATATATATAGACCATATTTTCTGTGTGAAGTGTAATATAAAATTATTATTAGGTTTATATTAGCCACATTAGACTCCATTAATGAAGTAATTCTCCTTATTATACTGTCAATTACATAAATGATTTTCCATTATTATTTAATTAAAAAAAGTTATGGATTATTTTTCATTTCATTTGACCAGTTGAGATTTGAGATTTCCCCAAAGAGCAGGTAATTAAAACTGGGTACTTACGTGGGTACTTACAATAAAATTTTTAATCCGAAACCCGCGTAAATATAGCGAACCGACTTTATATAATTTTAGGAAAAATCAACAAACTTAAGATGCTTCTAAACGAGCAGGACTGTTACTGCGATGGCCTAGCCATTTATGACAACATCGAATGCATCAGATCGGCAATCTACACCTCAGCAAAATTGTCAGCAACAGTATAAATTTGTTCGTAAACAAGCAATACAATTGGTTAACAATGAATGAAAAAATCATACTCGTCGCAGCGGCTTATTTTGTAAAAAAAAAAAAAATTAAAGAAAAAAAATTGTAAATTCGACCTTAATAAATCAGGCATGAAACTTAAGATAACATACGTATAGAAGTCTTAATAAGAACCTATTTAAAAACTTTTCAATATGTCAAATAAAAAATAATCGATATTGCATCGAAAGCAAACCATTTCACTGGTTTACCACCGGTACTACCACTTCTAATCTTTTTTGCTCATATTGCATACGTTTTCAATCTTCTGAATTTTTTGTATGTTTAAATACTTAAAATCTCAAATTTTCAGCGATAACAGCTGATCAATATTTTTTGTTTTTCCACATTCCACAACTCAGAACGTAAATGTATTTCGTTAATAAAATCTATAATCCTCTCATTAGACCAATTATTGGTAATTTATTTCCCCAAAATTTTGCAAAACAACAAATAATCACCAAAACAGAGTAAATAGTGCAGTATAATGGCTATATGGCCGAGGCATACCAAAAACATTCTCCTATATTGCATAGCCTGGCCGTTATTATGGGCAATATTGCCAGCTATTTTATTACACCCACATAGAATAGTGCGGAACCTATTTTACAGCGCAAGTATAATCCCCACTACCCAGCCCAACGCATTCGACGGTTCTTTTAGCAAGTGTGTAGTATTCTTTCAGTTCGCCAGTTTGCTACTGTATGTCCAAATGTGGCTTTTGCACATAAACACGTTCATATTGGCAACCGTATGATGTTTCACTACAATAGGTAGTGAGAAATACATGATATTTTTAATTTATTCGTAAAATAATTCATATTTTATCGGAAAAATGAATTAAATACCCAAGAAAAGAAAAATGAACGAGGCAAACCGCGAATTTAGTAAAAAATAGACTATTGATTCAGATGAATTGATCTTGATGAATTTGAATTAATTAATAATTATAATTGAATACACAAAACATTGAAACATAAAAGTGAATATGATAAATTTGAATCTCCATTCAGACAAAATAAAATTGATTATTTACAAAAATCATTAGAAGCACAACAAAACCTTTAAAAAAAAACGAAGTTCATCATTGTTCAAAATGTCCTTACATAAATATGTCGAAATTTATTGCTGAATAAAAAAATTAAGACATTAGTTTGTCTACATTAGCAGTTCGACCTATTGAAAATATATCAACTAATATGTTTAATAAATTAAAAGAGAATTGTTCTCAATTTGAGTGTTTTTCACTAGCACTTGATAAAAGAAATGATATAACTAGCCCCGCTCAATTGCTGATTTTTATCAGTGGAATTGATAAACAATTTTGTGTAATAGAAGAACTTGCTGAACTAAAAAGCCTCTATAGAGCGTTCCACGTTAAGAAAATAATATTGTGGAGATAGGGCCATGTATTTCTTATGGACGATAGATGCGCGGCGATGCCACGATGAACACAAGCACGATTCAGGGTTGTATTATTTGTATTTTTGTTTCAACAGGCATGAATTAAAATTAATGTTTTTTAACGTAATTGATCAAAAGTGTCCATTCGAAACAAGAGATGAAAAGTAGGGAAAATGATTTTAATTAAATAAATAGTAATTACTATTTACATGGGAATAAGCCACAATTAAAGGTTAAAATACAAATGTTTGTATTTTGAGAACGATTTCTGAAGTGGAAATTGAAACGTCAATAAACGTATTTTAACCTCTAATTGTGGCTTATTCCCATGTAATTAGTAATCGCTAATCGCTGTAAAATGCCACAAGAAAATAGCTTCATAACAATACTAAATAAATAGTATTTACAAACGATAATTTTATTTTATATTATTTTAATTATAGTAATGACAGTTTATTTGTTTTTCGGTGAGAATACCATATGTCATACATCATGGAAATCATTAGAAAATATTGCTTAGCTAAATCATGCATTTTGCCGGCTATTAAGGATAAGCAATTAAACGGAATGCATATACAGTACTCTCCCTCTATAACGATATGCAAGGGACCGGAAATTTTCATCGTTATAAGGAGAGATCGTTATACAGAGAGAGACAAACTTCGTTGTGTAATATTAATAATACTGCACTAAATAACCTATTTTAATTTAAAAAATTTATCAAAACGAATATAAATCACAGTACAGGATAAGCAGGACAATTGTCTACAAGCAAAAGATTTTTTTTTCCTTTAAACTCGATATCCCACTTTCTTATCGCTTCAAAAATTTTTAAGTCATTCAGGCATTCTTGTTTGTTTTATAGGTTACCGGTAGATTTTTTTATGTTTTTAAAGCAACGTGACACGATATGTCATCTGACGCATATCGTGCCTTTAGTCCAGGCCAAATGAATTCTAGCCAAACATCAGGTACGTTTTTGTCAATATCGTGAATCTCTCCGCTCATTTTCTCGTAGTTGATCTGGCGCCGCAGCTTCCACTTGGTCAGTCAACCCTCAGATGCCTTGAAATTCTTAATTCCAAGCTCAGTTGCAAAAAACTCAGCTTTTGTCCTGACCACAGGCTCTGACCTCATACGCTACTGCTGGAACCACTGAAGCATAACGCGATTTAAATCTTCGTGTTGAGGTTTCCGCAACTTCTTCCTTCTACCGCCCACCATCGCCGCCTTAAGCCATATTTTCTGTCCTTCCATATCGACGCCATAGTTAACAGAGACAGTCCCGTACGGCCAACCAGATCCGATTGCTTTTCACCTTTTTCTATTGCTGGAGTTATCGATAACTTTTCCTTCACCGAGAGCACTTTACGCTTTTTCGAAAATGATTTGCTTAGACATAACTCAAACTAAAAATGAAAAGTCGTTAATAGATTACACCAACTGTGTGATAACAGTTAATCACGCCACCCGAACAATAAAAGCGAGTCACTTAACCCTTTGATAAGAATGAGTAGAATGGGTGACCGCATTCCTTTGTTATCGACTATTGAACGCTGAAAAGTCATCGCTATAAAGAGAGAACGATATCGGTATAGAGAAAGAATTAATACATTGTCCTTATGACGAACCAACCAACGTTTAATATTTTCATCGTTATAGAGGAATTATCGTTACATAGGGAATCGTTATAAAGAGAAACTACTGTATCTAATTACTAATTGCAACTTAAAATAATACGGTCTGCATATGTCAGCGATATTATGTCGTTCTCTGAGTACATAATGATAATAAGGCTATGTGGTTCTTTAGTAGTTATTCTGACTTTACAGTTAGATGTTAATTGAAAATGGAAATTCAAAAATTAAGCCCAGGGAATATCTTGGACATCCGTGCAAAACAAATTGTTTTAAATGTATTTAATTATCATCTAAATTTAAGAAGAGGTGAAAGTGTTAGACGTTTAAGCGATAAAGTAAGTGCTATGACGGGAGTAAGTTTTAGTAAGGCCCATAAAAAAAAACAAGAAAAAGTACCAAAAGTAGAGTGAACGGCAGAAAGTTCACTTACGTTGCAGTAGTTCATACGCGGCTACGTGACATCGTGCATAGTTTTTTTTTAAATTTACCGCCGGCAAAGTTTTTGCACTGGTTGAAAAAGATAAAGATTTAGCAAACATGTTACGCACAACAATGTGGAGAACACTCCATGAAATGAACTTGGTTTTTTGCAAACTAGGAGTAAAGTCAAGCACGATTGAAGGGCCCGATATTCTAAAATGGAAGCATCAGTATTTGCGTGAGATAAAAAATTTCGTTCTCAAGGATACAACGTCGTTTATTTGGACAAAACTTGGGTCAATGTTGGACATAGTGTTTCCAAAGAATGGAAGGACCTCTCAGTGACTTCAACTAGGGATGCGTTTGTTAAGGGATTGTCAACAGGCCTAAAACAGCCGACACAACGAGTCCCCCGATTTGTTATAGTGCATGAGGGTAGCGAATTGGGCTTTGTAGAAGGTGCTGCTTTGGTTTTTAGCTAAAAAAACTAAGTGGACTATCGTGATGAGATGGAAGGTTGGATGTCAAAATATGGAAAGAAGTTGACGGATGAGAATTTACAAAACTTGTCGAGGATCTCAGTATCCCAAACAGAACCGAACAGACTTACACGAAATATCTAATAATATTCAAGAACGAAATAAATTTTAATGAATAAATAAAATGAAAGATAAACTATTTTACTTCATATTTTATATTTATACATATGAAATTGAAATTGTATTATCTTTTTTTCCCCTATTTAAAAATTGTAAAATTTATGTTTTCTGATATTATTATAGCATATCAATAGAAAATAAATTTTTCTATATTTTTTATATTTCATAATATTTATACTAGTATAAAATATGATATTAAAGCACTATTTAAGTTACATTTGAAAATGCCGCTGCATAAAAAATTTTGGTTGCCGACCCCTGCTTTACATGATACTCTACTCGAAAGAATAAGAGTAGAAAAGCACATAAAAATATAATACATTTTTATAATGTTAAATTTACCTTTATAAAAACCCATCGGATCCCACACATCCATATACTGTGGTTTCTGTCGTCCCTGATCGTCATTTACTTTTATCTTAAGAGGTAGAGCCGAATTGTCCAACGTTGTTCCATTCAAGCCAGAGATCGCCGCCTGTGCTTCGTCGCTCCTAGCAAATCTAAAGGAATAGATATAAATGAGAATGCAGGTGGATAAAGAATTTATTTAAAATTAAATTGAAAAATAAAAATTTAAAATTAAAACACCTAATCGGGCTATATCACAAAACCTTTTCGGAATTTATTTTCCATCATCAGTGTGTCCTAAAAGTATATAATCACTTTAATTAAAGAGAACGTGAAGTTTAAAAACTTAGCGTTCTCTTTAAACTTCACTTTCTCTTTAATTAAAGTGAAATTCCACGAGGAAACTAAGTTCCTGTAGCTGGCTGTATACCATATATCACAAAAAATTTTTGTTAAAATCCTTTATAAAAGGTATATAAAAATATATATATTTTTATATAACAATTTTTTTTTTAATTAAAGTGGTTATATACTTTTCGGACACACTGATGATGGAATAGAGTAGATTCCGAAAACGTTTTTGATGTAGCCCGATTGGGTGTTTTTATTATATACCTTTTATAAAGGATTTTAAATAATTTTTTGTGAAACATGGTATACAACCAGCTGCAGGAGCTTAGTTTCCTTGTGGAAGTGGATAAAGGTGTTATATCGCAATTTCTTGAAATTGGTTTTTTTGTTTTTAATTAATGTATTAGTGGCATATACTTCAGTTACAAGTTCTTTTTCATCAAAAATGTTAACGTTTTCATTGAAATTTCTGAGGCCATGTAGGTGTTATGTACCCATAGTTGGCAGATAAAGGTCTCAAAGTAATTTAACATCGTTATCTATACAATAAACCACGTTTTGTTGTAGAAATTAACCTATATGACAGAGTTAAGTGAGGTTTTTGTTTTGTTTATTTAGGTTTCGAGTATTTCAGATTGTTTTATTATTTTACTAGAATGTTCAGAGAAAAATACATTCCTAGTTTGGTAAACAACCAAATTGAAATACATAATGCACAAAAAGTATCTTTTAGTATTTTTTTAAGGTACTTCTAATGATAACATTCCAAGTTTAACTGTAAACATCTCAAATATCAGAGGAAAATACATTACTAGTTTAGTAAAAGACCAAATTGAAATGCACAATACAAAAGAAGATAAGATACTTTTTAGAAATTTGTTAATTATATTCTACTTTTGAAGCGAAGCTACAACTGGCGTTGTATTACTTTTTTTCTATAGTAAAATGCCGAGGCGAGCGTCACGGCTAGCGTTACGAAATAGCAGTTCTCACATCGATTAACTACTTTCTATCAGTTCGTTTCTAGTGATCATACCGGGTGGTGAATCGTCAAACGGGCCATAGGAAACTCAATGAGAAATTTTAAATTGTTGAATTGCTGCTTCCCTAATTATTTTAGATCAAAAGTCATAAAAAACTATTTGTAGAGGACTAAAATCTGAATTAAAAACAAATGTTAAAACCGTTCTACGAATCAAATGTACTTTCAAAAATTTTGCAAAAATATAATACATTTTTCAGGCCACCCCTAAAAGTTAGGCCACACGTAATGCAAGAATATATATTAGGACGTGTGTCTTTTATCATATTGATGTCATATGTTTGACAATTTGAATTGTCAATTTTTTTATTTTATGATTAAATTATAAACAATGAATTTTACTAAATACTACTACTAATGAACATTATTACTTTGTGAACAATAAATTATATTGTTTACAAATCGATCAATATAATGAAATGCACTCAGTTGACGAAAAATCGCATAATGTTGTATTCAGGCAATAGCGCGAACCTTTTTCTGCCACTACCGGATCTTTATTTAACGTAAGATATTCTAATTCACTAAAATTTAATTCCATGTTAAGTTAAGTTATACAACAATTCAATGAATTCCAATATACTGTTACTGTGATCTTTATTCCTAATAATAATATATGATAATTTCTAAACATAAAACTATAACAAATGTTATAATAAAACATGAATAAAACATTTTTATTATTGTTTTTTTCCTCAACTGATACATTTTTTAATCAATTAATTTTTTTTAACAATAAATCACAAAATTTTGGCCATTTAAATCATAGATAAATGTAATATAATTGATTTAAATATTGTCAAATATCAGAAACAATAATATGACAAAACGCAACACATAATACACATTTTTTCACAGAAAAATGTATTATATTTTAGCAAAATTTTGGAATACGTTTAAGTCGTAGAATAATTTTAACAGTTGTTTTCGATACATATTTGAGTCCTCTACAAATAGTTTTCCCATGACTTTTTGGTGTAAAATAATTAGGGAAGCAGGAATTCAACAATTTAGAATTTCCCATTGAGTTTCCTATGGCCCGTTTGACGATTCACCACCCTGTATACTTACTCTAAGCAGGTTTAAATAAAAAACTGCATGAAAATAACTATCAAAATACCGACATTAAATAGAAAAGTAAAAAATTTTGGACTAGAACATTAAAATTTAAAAGTCAAAACATCATAAATGCCATCCAATTAATAATATTGAATCGTCTATTTAATAACGCCCGATTTCATAATCAATTTAAAGTGAACATAAAATGTGACCTCAAAATTGTCACAATCGTCTTTGATTTGCATTAAATGTGTTGCATCAAAATGTTATATCGGTAGCTGACTATATGGGTATATCCAGGGCAACAGTTTTAAAATTTTTACAGCAATTGTAGCATTAAGCTGACAGTACATAAAAATGTATCAAATAAATGATGAAATGGTCCAGTTGAAGAAGAGTTCGTAGTTATTTTAGAAATTCACTTTTTTGTCGGCCTTGTCCACTGTTTTCAAATTTGAAGCAAAATGTTTGGGCGAGTCAAAGATATTCAGATTTGAGAAAAATTATCAGCTAGTGTCAAAAAACATAAATCTTCGACAGAACATTTAAATGATTGCTTAGGTTTAAAAAGATTAGAAAAAAGTATGTAAACTATTGACAGTGCTTTAGCTGGACATATTACTTTAGCCAATAAGTTATATAAGGGAGAAGTTAGAAAAATAGAATTTTATTATTATATTTAATTTATGTTAAGAATATTTTAGCAAAACAAGAACTGAAATTTCGCGGTCGGGATGAGAGTAATAAATCCTCAAATATGGGTAATTTTAAAGAAATTTTAAATTTTGCAGTTAAACGCGATCAGGAAATCCAGGCTTCCAGGCTCATATTAAAAAAATAGAAGGGGTGTTCACAGGTTTGTCAAACACAATACAAAACGATTTAATAAATTGTTTTACATAAAAAATGAAATTTTAAGAGAAATTAATGAAGCTCAACTTTTTCTATACTAGCGGATCATACTACTGATACAGTGCGTTAAGTTTTTGATTAGGTATTGCACACTATACGGAGCGCTAAAATCGGCAACGTTGCAAATGTTCGTTCTCCGACCCGAGACTATCTGCAACGACAGAAAATCATTTTAGTTTAGTAACTCACAACAACGTTTGGGATGTACTTCTCTGTCGTCCGATCTCATGTTTCATTACGTATAGCCGATTTTAATAGTAGGAAATTCGATAAAAATGCACTGACCTAATCGGTGCATTGTTATCGATTTTTATTAATGTGAAAATTTTTTGTGGTTGAATTAAAAATAAAAGCGTATTTCTTTAAAAAGACAAAATAAAAAATATACTCTTATTGAAAATTAAAATATTATTCCTAATAAAATAAAAAATAATTCTTTATGACCTACAGAAATGGTTCAAATAGTTGACCTACGGCTGAACAGTGCCCAAATCTGTCATAAAAACTTCTGCGAACAGCTGAAAGAGTTTCTGCTGTAACAGAATTGGAGACTTCTCTTATTCGATTTTTTAATTCATCCAAATTTTGGGCTCTATCCTCAGGATGATCGTAGATAATGCTTTTTAAATGCCCCCAAAAAAAGAAGTCCACGGGTGTAAGATCTGGAGATCGCGCAGGCCACTTAATATCGCCTGTTCCACTGATAACTCGATTCGGGAAAGTATTGTTTAAATACTCCCTAATAATTCGAGCGTTGTGAACTGAACAGCCGTCTTGATGAAACCAAACATTCTCCAGATTTACATCAGGAAGATTGAGAATAGCGGGAAGAACATGATTCTGTAACAAATCGAGGTATACTCTACTATTCAAGTTGCCCTCAATAAAAAATGGACCTATTATGTGGTCTCCTAAAATGCCAGTCCAGACGTTAACTTTTTGAGGATGTTGAGTTCGGTAAACAAAACTTCTGTGCTGGTTTTCCCGCGCCCAATACCTCCTAATGGAAGGATTGTGTCTCCCTACTAACGAAACAGAAGATTCATCAGTGAATAAAATGTTTTTAATCAAATTTGGTTCACTATTGGCCTTCGTTATTAGAGTTTCACAAAACTCCATTCTTCGAAAGTAATCGTCTGGATAAAGCTGATGCGTTTTCGAATATTTAAAATTCTTGTAACCGTGCTTTTTCCATACTTTCGTTACAGTAATATTGCTAACATCTAACTCTCTAGCAACGCTTCTACTTGAACGTGTTGAATCTACCTCGATTGTTGCACAAATTTGTGTATCCCGATATTCTCTTTCCTCAACTTTTTCTGGCAACACTTCTTGAGCGTGACATTTTCTGCAATTTTTGAGGCAGATAACAACTCTCAAAATTTTTAACAATATTATAAATTGACTGTACACAAGGAATTGGTCTTCCCTCAAAAAACAGAGAAAATAAATCTACACACTGTTGCGCAGAATTGCCACTATAAAACCATTTTATTATTTGAGCTTTTTCCGCGGCCATATAAACAGACATGTTTACAAAAATAAATTAAAACTCTACGCTGTTATACCTTTAAACAACCACGGTATAATGACAATATGACAAATTTGCGACGGGCGACGAAGCAATGACGAGTCAACGAAGCAGATATGTAGTGGCAAGTCGACGACGCGCAGTGTTGTCATTTATAGAGTGTATACCTAATCCAAAACTTAACGCACTGTATAACCGAAACATCACAGCGTATTTTAACAATCCGTTTTTTTTTAACTAAATTGGTCAGAAAACAGAAATACTTTTAAGGTTTTTGATTTTAGCTAGAATAGAACTGCAGACGCTCTGTATAGTTCAATTACAAAAGTTCTTGAGTAATATGATTACAAAAATAAATTGATTGATCAATGTTACGATGGTACTCAAGTGTAATGGCCGGCTCTTTAAATGGATTGCAATCAAAAATTAAAGTAGATGCTCCTAAAGCTTTTGTTATACATTGTTGCGCTCATAGATTAAAGTTAGTTTTGGAAGACGGCTCATAATGTATTAGAAAATGTAGAATGTTTTTTGCAACGTTTACATCAATTCCTGGTTTTTTAATCATTCGACGAAAGAAACATTTATTCTGAATTCAATTCTAAATCGAAGTATCCCAACAAACTGTGAAACTAGATGGACTTCAAAATCGAAGATTGTAAGCGTTGTTAATTCAAAATAGAATGAGTTAATTTCAATAAACTAATCCTATACTTTCTATTAACCAACATATTGTTCAAATTTTTCACTGAAATGTTTAGATATAAATTTGTGTCAAAAATAAATAGATATAGCTTTGGGAGAACATTGGAATACTGGTCAAACTTTTCAATGATGTTTATTCGACTGGTGATATCCCTGAAGATTGGTTAAAGTCCGAATTCATAACACTACCAAAAAACAACGTCCAAAAAACTGTAGCGATTATAGAATGATAAGCCTTATGAGCCACACTTTGAAAATATTTCTACGCATCATCCACAGTAGAATCAGAGATAAATGTGAAGAAGATCAGGATTGAAACACAATTTGGCTTCAGAAATGGACTGGGAACTCGGGACGCCCTCTTTGCACTAAATGTATTACTGCAGAAATGTCGAGATCAAAGGAAAGACGTCTTTGCTGTATTTATTGACTATGAAAGGGCCTTTGATTGAGTACACATCACAAATTAATTACAATATTAAAAGATAAAGGAGTTGATAAAATGTATGTTATGTATGTATGTTACTATATGTAATTTAAAGGGTTTTTCCCAAGTATTTTTGGTGGTCAGGCATTTTAACCTTGCATAACGGAAAAATCAACATCAACAACAGAAATATGTAAAATACAAAGAGGTGTCAGACAGGGTTGTATACTATCCCACTGTTATTTAATTTATATTCAGATAGAATATTTAAAGAAGCGCTGCATAATGTGGAATGGGGCGTGAAAGTTAATGGAATTCTGATAAAAACAATCAGATATGCAGACGATGCAGTTATTTTAAGTGATTGACATGCATGGATTACAATGCCTTTTAAATGCCGTTGATACAGTGGGAAGAGAGTTTGGCCTAAACATAAACTGTGCAAAAACAAAACACATGGTGTTTAGCCGTTTAGCACATCAAGATGCACGATTATATGTTGATGGTCATATAATTCAAAGAGTGTCCAGTTTTAAATATCTTGGTTGCCATATTACTGAACAACTAGATCCAGATCAAGAGATAAAATGTAGAATCGAGATAGCCCGCACGACATTTTAAAAATGAGGTCATTCTTCTGTAATGATAACTTGCAACTTCAACTTCGAAAGCGCATGGTTATATGCTACATTTGGTCAGTCTCTTATACGGTGTCGAAGCATGGACATTAAAAATATCCACCATTAATCGTCTGGAGGCTTTGAAATGTGGCTGCACAGACGTTTACTAAAAATTCATGGACGGCTATGCTGGACAAATGTGGCAGTCCTTGAGAGAGCAAATGCTGCTCGCGAGCTGCTTGATAACATCAAATGTAGAAAGATGGCCTATTTTGGACACGTAGTAAGGGGAGGACCGATATAATATTCTTCAACTTATTATGATGAGTAAAATCGAATGACGCAGAGGAATTGGTTAGAAAGCAGGCCTCTTGGTTGAAGAATATCAGGGAGTGGACAGGAATAAAGAAAGCTGAGCAATTATTTAGAATAGCTCGAGACAGAGACAGAGTTTCGCCATGTTAATCGCCAACGTCAAGGGGACTTGATAGGGCACGTTAAGAAGAAGAATAGCTTTGGGAAGAATATTTGTATTATTTGGAAAGAATATATGAATATTACGAAGATTCGTAACGATAAGGCTTTCAATAATTTACTTTCTGTGTAAAAAATAATATTAATTAATGATGCCCTTTTGGCGGGTACTTAGGTAGCCCCAAAAAAAATGTTTTTTTAGTTTCAGATCGGCCGGATCCTAAGCTTTTCAAAACATATATTGACATCTGGTTTATCTCACAATCCGCTGCTGAGCTCTGGTATATTGCGGTCAGGATACACACCAGCGATTTCGAATTTTAGTGACAGAGGATAGAGCGACTTCTCAAACGGTTTATTCTGATAGAAAGATCGAACCTCGCATATAACATACACCGACTTTACCGAAGATAAAACGCGATAACGACTTATCACAATAAAGAACTTAAAATAGGTAATTTATATCAATATTTATAAACAACATATATTTATTTACTTATGTTTAATACTTTCATGAACATATTTACGTTTTAGGTAAACTGTTATTAGGTATTACTGAATTTATGCTTCAATTTACCGCTGCATAGGGGAAACATGGCATTCAGGTCGAATGGGTACACAAATGATGATATACACTGGATCTTCCAATCTAGCGCTTACTGTACAATATTACCCTAACTTTAAAATGAACATTGAAGGATGACATGGTTTCAACGGATTCACGTTTCACCTCTGAACCCCTTTGAGTACTTGAGCTATTGTGCGTGAATTCCTTTTTACATTGTCAGTTGGTCTTGGCCTGTAGGTATATTAAGCACTCTGACCAATAACAGCCCACCCTTTTCTTGAAACTACCTACAAGTGTTGCGCAACATTGAGACGCATTCAATTTGAACATTCAAGAAATAAACAATAATATATGGGAGGGAAAATGTTGCGAACAATTTTTAATTATATATAAGAACTACTACAATACTAACCTTACAAAAGCAACTCCCTTTGCCATTCCAGTATTTTTATCTTTTAACAGCGTTCTTTGTACAATTTTACCGTATTTACTAAATATGTTATCTATTTCTTCTTCAGTAATTTTTTTTGGGAGATTTGTAATGTACAGATTTGAATCTTTCGTGCCTGGTCCTGCTGGGCGTGAGTAAGCGACTTTTAACCTCTTATTCCTACAAAATGAAGATACATTAAGTCAGTGTTATACTACACTACATTGTTTTGATACGGCAAACAATGAATATTATGTTTACAAATAGATTTTAACAGCAATATTTTACTGTTCAAATATCTCAAACATTGACAATAATAACAAGACAGTGAACTGTGGGAGAGGTTCAGTTTGAGAAATTTGATTATGTGCCATCTCTTTGTTGGAAAATCAGGGGAAAATACGAGCAGAATTTTACATATGTTAGCCTCATAAATTTTGAAAGCGATCTGAAACATGCAGCATATGAAAGTGAATTTTGAATTTTAGCTAACAAAGTCCAAATGATAATGATGATCGCCAATATTTGATAATAGCAGTAAATGCTAAGATTTCCAATAGCAAGTACAGTTAGGTTGGATGAAAAAAAAAAAAAAAAAAAATAGATAAAAAATGTTATTAAATAAATAACTCAGCTTGACGGTTCAGTAGGCTACAAGAAATATACTTCAAAACACACAAATTATTGAATTGTATTCAAGGATGGTAAGAGAGACCTCGAGATATACTAGAACCCATAGAGTCACTAAAAATATTAACACTAATGAACAGACTAGGTTGTATACTTATGTCACAATAGTGTTCAAGATGGCAGTAGTACATAGACACCATCTTGTACCCAACTAGACAACTACACAAGAGAAACAACTATCAATAAAACAATGTTTAGGGAAAAAAAACACTGTGGGTGAAATGTGGTAACTAGTATGCCAAGAAATGGACTGTGGATGTTGTAAGGGTTATGGAGGGCCTGTGGGTGAAATGTGGTAACAAGGGCTATGGAGGGCCTAGGGAAGAAAGCAGACTTCACTACTTGATTCCAATAATATGCCTAAGTGCCTCATGTTCCTTACCTGCACCCCCACGAAAAAACTATGAAAGAAATAATCAGCTTAGAGAAATCAAAATTAGTTTTGAAATGTGAGTATAGCAATATACTATAACAGAAATATAAAAGTCCTCAAGTTGAGATCTATTGATAGTTGTGACTGATCTCAATTACTGTAAGCTGGAGAATTTTGAGTATTCAACATAAAAATTAACACTACTACCAGTTTCAAGCATGCATAAATGGGAAGGGTTTCTAGATTATGTTCTCACTCTTGATGTAAAAGTAATGTTTGTGAATATTAAAAAAAAAATTATAATTATGATAAATGATAAAAGAAATATATATTACATCAAATTATATCCATTTAGAACTTCAATTGCTTTGGCTGCTTCTTCTTCAGTGGAATATTTAACAAAACCAAATCCTAAACTGTGACCAGTCTTAAAGTCTTTCATAAGTTTTACATCTTCTGGTTTTGCAATAATTGAAAATATTTGGGACAGTTCACCTTCAGTGGCTTGTGGTGGTATGTAATTAACAATTAATTTGGTTTTATCTATGGAACCATCATTACTATCTCCAGCTGCATTTTTGGTGTCCATCATATTATTCAAACTGTTGGAAGTTGGCTTTTGGTTATTCCTAGTATTAGCAAACTAAAACAGGTTTGGTTACTATTTTGTATATAGAACAAATACAGTTTAAAAATTTTTTAACATTACACTTCTATCACAAATTGCACAAAAAACTTGATATTAATATCTGATGATATGATATTATACCAAATTAAATATATAATTGTACAACATATATGGGATTCTAGGCAGTGGTATGAAATTGTTTTTTCCATCATAGGTTTCATCTGTAACTACAGCAAAAATTATAAAAGATGATGTGGGAGCAGATATAACCTCATATTATTCCCAGGTGGCAAAGTTATCATTTATACTGCCTATCAACAGGAGCAGACTAAGGCCTAAGCATCCTAGGCCCGTGTCTAGGGCCAGTAATTTTTGGGGCCCTAAAATACCACAAATTGTGATTGTGATATTGAGTAAAATAAATTTAATTAAATATCATTTTCTTCTTTCTTTTTAGTACGTAGTCTTTAAAGTTCCTTTAAAAATTTAAGTGAGTGTGAAAAAATAAAACGGAAAGCAGATCCAGATAAAGTGACAAAACAAATAAAAAGAATGTTGGAAAATTTTTTTAACTGGAGATGGAGAACAACAATGTACAACAATTGTCATCATTTTCACAAATTTCACCTGTTTTATTAACTCCAGAAACATTATTTGTGTCCGAGACTATTCTGCAAAGAGAACAGCAATTCCGATTGTGAAGATGAAATAAAAAAAGAAAATATAAATTTAAAATCATCTCAAAATAATGATCAAATTAAGACTTTTATAAATGACATTGCATTATGGCCAGATACTAAATGGACGCCATGTGAGAGTATTATATAAAAAATCCACCAAAATCAATAAATGAACCTTTGGAATGATCTTCTATTTGATGTAACGAAGAATCAAAACAAATCACAAGAAAATTAGCTATTGCCTCCTTCTTCAGAAGAATGGGGAGAAAGTTAAATAAGATTGGCTGGATTATACTGAACTCAACAACTTACTGTACTATTATGTCTGTAAATTATTTTTCAAGCAAACAATGCTAATGACAAAACAGATGAATGATCAGAAAAATGTACATGAAAATTGTCAGAACATGGAAAATTCACTGACCACATTAACTGCTGTGATTAGCATTATATTTAAAATAATTTTCATGACAGTGATGCTAGTGACTCTTTATAGAGGAATAAAAATGTTATGAACAAGATTTCAACCTAGCAGAACTGAAAATAAAGTATTATAATTTGAGGCTTTTATAAGTAAAGAAAATATTATTTCGCTTGTATCCATGTGGTCATTCATTAAGAAAAATAATATTGCCACACTCCCAAATTTAAACAAAATTCTGAGACCTTATTTAACCATTCTAATTTTTTTTCTTCGAATTCAATAATTAAATAGAACTACATACAGATTGAACGAATTTAAAACGGATCATACAATTTAATATATGTCTGTTTGAACTGCATTTGAAATAGTGGACCAATATAAAACTTGGACAAAAATAAGTCCATACCTGGGTTTAGACATTGTATAAAATATCGTTCAACTATCTGTCTCGCAACAATGTTGTTTGCATAACAATGTTGCCAATCACCGTGTAATAATCTGATTTGCGGATCTTTTTGAGAGTTATATCTTCTTCGTATCTTTAAATAAATCGGATATTTGCCTATATTTTTCATTGTATTTACCAATCTACTACAACAGACTAATAAACAAAATAAACTTAATGGTTTGTAGTTATTTTCTTTTTTTCTTGTAAATATTTTATGGATAACACCTTATTTGAGAAACATCGGCAGATTAAAGCTGCTACATTCCATTTGTACAATTTACACACACTGTCTACGATTTCACCTGTTCTAGACACACAAAATTATTACACTCACTCATAGGTTTCTCTTTTTTTAACAAAATTGTATAATCACAAAATAAAAAACACACCACCTCTTGTTTGCTATATCTTACTAATGTAATCATAAAACCAGAAAACTATATAAAACATCTCAGAATAATTGATAGTAAATTAAATTTCAAAAAATATCATCAAACTATTAAACATTTTAAAGCACTTCAGTAAGTATTCCCAAAAATAATATTTTTGTGGTCTTCTATCACTTTGCTTCTCTCTTAAACAAGGGTAAACTTCTCTTCTAAAAGGTCATCAACAATAAATGTGGCAACATTAAAGTCAGCAAGAAGTTTACTTCTGACTTGACCCAAATAAGCTGAAGTTTTCTTAGAAAAACTCTGGTACTTGTGTTATTCATCAATGTTGAGCTAGACCCTTATTGATTTCAGTTTCAGTCTTGAAAATCTCTTCAAACTTATTAAATTGTTCTTCAGTTCACCAAAAACTTGATCCACCACTTTCCTGCTCAAATGGTTAATAAGAGCATTGGTATGACTGGGCCATCTCCTGAGTGCCTATTCATATCCTTCAATTCCTGAGACAACTCTGGCAATTGATTGATGCATCCCCTATACCAGATCAGATATACTGATTTTTTGCAAGAGCACATTGTTATCTCCTGTGAGGAAATCTTTCTGCAATTTTTACAAGAATTTTTCTTACACCTGTCAGAGTGAGATCCAGTGTTAGCCACCATATAAAATTATAGGAGACCTACTCTGCCGTCCTAACATGAAAGGTCCTATCTGCAAAATTTGGTAAAATGACTTTATTGGCTCACGGCATTCGTAAACATATTATCTATGTATGTACAAAATGAAATTGTCCTATAAGTGTCTTAAGTGCCTTATTATATACCTAAATGGTTTGTCCTAACTGACTAAAAAGCCATGTTCACTAACATAAATTGTCCTATCTAACATATACTAAGAAAAATTGTCCGTTTTGACTTTAAAAATGCAGTTAGGACTATTTAAGCTAGTATTTTATACTGAGCGGCATCATTTAGGACAATTTTTGCCTAGTATGATATAAGCATGTGTGTAACATAACTTCAAATAATTAATTAAAAAGGGTATTTGTTATTGTCAGACATTGGGAATACTCTCATGCTTTTTGGTATTTTAAGTAAATATATTGTATATATTAGTAATGTTACCTTAGGTATAAGCAATAACTGATCGTAATTATTGTTTGTAGTAGTAGCAAAAAATATAGACGCACATGTGTCTATATTTTTCTGGTTGTAGCAATGCAGCATGTCGTAGCCAGAGCAGCGATAGTTGTAAACGTATGGTATTTAGCCAAAAGCGAGAATGATCCAGATTATGCACCTGGGACGTCCAATAAATTCGACAATAATAAAAATGGAAATGAGTCGGATTCTAGTTTCGAATCTAACGGATAGTCTAGTCGGATTCTATTATCATTTATGTTACATATATTAGGATGTAAATTGTGTACTAAGTTTTAAAACTTCTTCTTCTTTTTATATAGACATGACTCTGTCTGTTTTTCAATGTACCTACAGTAAGTTGCCGTTTTCATCGTTTTCGTGGTCTTCCTAACTGATCTTATCGTTTTCGTGGTCTTCCAACTGATCGTCTTCTTATTGGGGAATTGTCTCTTGCGTATTTACTACTCTGTTTTTTGTCATTCGGCTTCTATGATCGTTCCATTCTACTATTCTATTTCTTACACAGTTCTTAATATTCTTACTTTGTCTGATGTACCTCACCTTGCATATACATTGTATCTCTGTACTCTGTTCTTATCTTAGCTCTATCCCATAGTGTTTTGCCATCAATGTTTCTAAGTGTTTTCATCTCTTCTGTTTCTAACATCCTTTTTGTCCTCTCTATGTCAGGTCTTGTTTTCTGCTGCGTATGCCATTATTGGTCTGATGACTGTTTTGTAAATTTTGTCATTCATTTCTTTTCGATGTTTTTATTTCTTCATATTGTTTCATTCAGGCAGCATGCGGCACTGTTTGCTCTATTCACTTGATCTTCCACTTCAGTTTTGAGCTTTCTGTAGCTAGATAATGTGATGCTAGATATTTAAACTCCATCACTTCTCCTATTATCTGACCTTCCAGCTCCAATTTACATCTTAGTAAATTTGCTGTTGTAAGCATGCATTTTGTCTTTTTTGGGTAAATTAACATTTTTCTGGCGATTATATTAAATTGGTTGCAGCATAAGCTGTAATCATCTTCACTTTGAGAGATCATTATTGCGTCGTCTACATAGTAGATTATTTTAAGTTGTTTTTCTACATTTGGTATCCTTTTTTAGTTACTTTTTTATTATTTCATCCATAATCAGGTTAAATAATAAAGGACTCATAGAATCTCCCTGCCTTATCCCATTGCCAGTTACAATAGAGGTCGGTTAGTTTTTCTTCTACTTTTACTTTTATTGTGTTTTTTTGGTAGATATTTTTGATCGTTTTGAGTATTCCTGGAGGTATCTCTATTGCGTACAGTAAGTGGATAACGTCTTTTAGTTTAACCAGTCAAATGCCTTCTTAAGGTTCACGAAACATAGATATGTATTCTAATTATTTCTCTTGCATTTGCCTCATTATAAATATAGCGTCGATGCATAATCTTCCCGACCTAAACCTTGTGGTTCTTCTGCCAGTGTTATAATTTCATTCAGTTTATTTGTTATTACTTTTGTTGTTAATTTTAGTGTTGTGTTTCATAAATTAATTCCCATTCCCTTGATCTCCATTCTTGAGGAATACTATTTTTTGGTTCTATTATTTTATAAAACTTAGTATAATAAAATTAAAAGTGTTCAGTTAATTTGAATTTTAGTTTTTATTTAGGACATTTCAGTAAGTAATACAAAAAAACGTACTTCAGATACACTAAGCTAAATTGTCCTAAGTGGCAATTTAATCAAAAATCGACTAATCTGGAAAGAATAAAACAAAATTCTGACTAGCAATTAAATTCTATTCTCTGACATAATATATAAAATAAAACATAAAGACTTCCTTAAATTATCAAGCGTTATACAATGAAAAGAAACAAAAACATGATTTTCTCAAAACCTAAATTTTGCAGATAGGACCTTTCATGTTAGGACGGCAGTACTGAACATTCTTTTTATTATGGTCTATCACGCCTTTACAATAATGCTTAAATCCACTATAATTTTTTTAAACCATATTTTTAAACAGAAAGAAAATGTAATTATTTTCACAATGTTTTTCATTTAGCACTGAAATGATGGGGGTTTACACAGTAGAGTATGTTTCAATATAGTGCTCCTAGTATGCAACACATCAATTACTTCACTTGATGCCTGTAAACCTCCATAAAACACTGGCAATTACTATTTAAATAGAAATAAGCCACAATTAAAATTAAAGGTTAAAATACGTTTATTTTGGTTTCAATTTCCACTTCGGAAATCATTCTCAAATACAAACATTTTTAAATAAATTATCAAATATTGAATTTATTTCAAATAATACTATTGCAAATTTTGACATAAATAGTTTATTTACGAATGTGCCATTAGATTTAAATATAGTCAAGACACACTAATGTTTGTATTTTGAGAACGATTTCTGAAGTGGAAATTGAAACATCAATAAACGTATTTTAATCTTTAATTGTGGCTTATACCCATTTAAATAGTAATTACTTTAAAATGCCACAAGAAAATAACTTCAGAACTAAAGGTTGCTATTGTAAGTTAAAATAAAAGATGAACATACTTACAATTTTAGCCTATATTTCTTAAACTAACCTATGTTGGCCTCAGGCCTGAATAAAATAAATATCTTGGGTAAAACCAAGGGTAGTAATAGGCGGTTGAAGAGTAGTACCAAAGAATATTCTTTGGTAGTACTCTTTAGGTCCAAGAGCAGGCTACCCTGCCACGCTAGGTATATAATGGGAGATTTTTATAATATGAATGTTATTATTCTGCAATTTATTTTCAGAATGCAAATATCAAAATTGACATACCTTTCTATAAAATCAAATCAACTAACTAAAATAAACTGGGCAAAATCCAAACCTATTATGGCAATTTTGCTCATCAAAACATTAACCAGTTTGTTGATAAGTGGTGATGTTATAATGATAGGTGACACTGGTGACAGATGACAGCGATGGGTGATATGCATCGAGTTTGGGGCATGATACTATGACACTAAGAAGATAAGATATTGCGCATAAGTCGTGACGTCATTGGAGAGTTGCACGTTTGAAATGTCAGTTTTTTGTATGTATCAATAAATAATCTTTAATAAATAGTATGGAGATATCCTTATGTTTACGATTATTGTAAATATTAAACCTCTTAACTTATTTTTATAACTTTATACAAGAATTCAAATTCTACTCTCCAATGACGGCATGCGCGAACACGACCGATTTTGTGCTACGAGAAGATCCTATCTTGTTAGTCATAGTATCATGGTTTGGGATACTCGGTCACTCGGGACTCAGTTACTAAGAATCGAAAAGTATTCGATTTTTTAAAGTATTCAGTGCACAAACCATACATACATAGAGTATGTATGGTTTGTGCATCGAGCAATAAGACAAAAGAGGGAATGTAAGGTAGTGGGGGTAAACATATTGATAGACAGGAAGTGCCATCTTGAGAGGCCACTTTAGACAAGGATAGACAGTCTCTTTCCTTGTTTAAGAAGTCAAATTTAGTTAGGTTATGTTATTGTTTGTCCAACTGTCACATGAAATTTTATTTATATTGAAATCTTTTACCAATTGTGTCACTTTTTAGACTATTATAGTTAATATTTAATTAAAACTTCTCGTCTGAAAAATATTTTATAGCTATTGTTAATAAGTGTTGGAAAATTTAAATTTAGCGCCTTTGCATTTCCGGATATGTCCGCCATCAGAGGCCACTTTTTTGGTCTCTTTTCATAACGATTAGATTCCCTCTTTATATGCTATGGTTTGTGATTCAGTGGCGGTGTGTGGTGAGTTGTCTATGAACTACATTAAAGGTAAAATAACTTTAGAAGTCTGTAAAACGAAAATGTTAAACATCGTATATCATCATTTTCCTTCATTTTATAATTTTATAATCAACTTTTATATTTATTATATTTCATTTTATAATCAACTAATCACAAAATAAGTGAATGAATTTTTAGCACGTCGTAATATTTGAACACTTTGAAATTAAAACTTTTACAGATGTCACAATAAATATGAGGCGATGAGGCAGACTTGACTTTCATAAAAGGGCAACCCTTTTGTAGTTCTGCATTAAAATGACATTTTCGTCGAGGCAGAGACATTCTAAATATTCTGTATTCTAAAAGGTTATATTCGCTACTCGCTGACGACCGAAGGTAATTATCTGAACGTTTAAGGTCGATTCAGACACATCAGTCCCGTCACAGTCTCGGCGCCGAACCGGTCCTGTTTGGTCACAGAACTATCAATTATCTGACAGCTGGCAAACTGTTCGTCAACTGATGAATGTGAATGCCGGCGCCATATTTCTATTAAAGAATATTTTGTATGACGGATTGTTCGGTTCGGCGCCAGGACTGTGACGAGACGTGACTGATGTGTCTGAATCGACCTTTATTCAGATGCAATCAGATGAATAATTGGTTCTTGATCTTTTTTTATTTGATTCATGCTTAACTATAGGTTTAGATTGGGAAATATTGCTTTATACATATGGAAGTGATCACTTTACCATGGTTATTAGAAAGCTCAACCAAGTACACTTTACTTTACTTAATCAGTAGACCATTTGTACCTTTCGGTGTTGGGCCGTTTATAATACAATTCTTTATATTACAATATTTTACAATCTTCTGAGGTGTCCTAGCTCTTGACAAACTTTCTCCATTCCTTCCTATTGTATGCCATTTGTGTTGCTTCCTGCCAAGTCTTATCCTTACTCTGCAGTATCTGCGAGTTGTCACTGTTCCATTCTTTAATTGGTCTTCCTCTTCTGTTCTTCCCTATTGGTTTGGCGTCCCACACTCTTTTTACTTGTCTATTATTGTCCATCCGGGTTAGATGTCCGAACCATGCCAATTTTTGCTCCTTGACTGAGTCGAGAATCGGTTTGATTTTTAGTCTCTCTCTTATTTCTTCATTTCTGATTCTATCAGTTCTTTTTACTCCGATCGTTCTTCTGAGGTATTTCATGTCTGCTGCCTGAATTCTGCTTTGATGCCTTTTGTTTAGTATCCAATTTTCTGCTCCATATGTCACTGTAGGTCTATATATTGTTTTGTATATTGTCATCTTGGTCTTTGTTGATATTTCTTTGTTATTAAGGAATCCTCTATTTAGTGCTTGGAATAGTTTTTCTGTTTTCCATTCTGTTGTTAAGATCGTCCTCGATGTCTCCTTTGTTGTGATTACTGTTCCAAGTATTTGTATGAATTTGTCTGTATTATTTTTTGTTGGTCTATCATTATTTCTATTTGTTCTTCCGTCCCTTGTTTCCTTGATATTTTCATTATCTGAGTATTCTCTTTGTTTACGTTTAAGTTGTATTTGTTTGCTTCTAGGTTCCATTTCTCTAAGTTGTATTTCAGTTTTTCTGCTGTTTCCGCAATTAATACTATGTCATCTGCAAATATACACATCTCAGCGTTTATCTTTTGCATTCTGTTCCAACCGATGCAGTATTTCTTGAACGTTTTCTTACATTCTTTCACTATCTCATCTATTACATTTATGAATAGCACTGGGCTGAGACTTCCTCCTTGTCTATAACTCCTTGAGTTGTTTCAAATGGTTCTGACTGCATATTTGACATTCTTACTGTGTTTTCTGTAAGAAAACTTAAATTCGTCAAAAATAATTCATAAAATAATTCGTCAAAAATAATAACTTCAATATTTTCAATATGGTTTTAACGAAAAACTTAATAAACATTACTGGTATGTTCCTAACAAAAACGTTCAGTAGCCAAAGAAAGTTTGACAGGATCAAAAGGCTGCAGAGGAAATTTCAAGTAGACGACGGACGTCCAGTTTGGATGAAGTCGAAAATGTCTAAGTTTCTCTACCGATTTACCGTAACAAGTCTTCTCCTTGGGCTAACGTGGGGCCTTTATACAGTTCTGTGGGAAATTTTCTACGTGAAACGATTCAGAAGCTAGATGTTGATGGTTAGTTCGAAAATTCTAGTATAAATGACAGTTTTTTTTTGTGTATAAATACTTACTGTGTTTGTTGTTTTCATGTATATACTCTTTGTTGTTTCTATCAGTTCTTCACTTACTTGCTTCTTCTTTAGACTTTCTCATATATCTTTTCTTTCGACTGAGTCGAATGATTTTTCCATGTCTATAAAGCTCAGATACAACCAAGTACAAATACATTAAAAAAATTTTTGAAATGGAAAGATAACTAATCACTAAATGACATAGTTTTAGAAAGTGCTATATTGCATATTGGTAACACAAAACAAATATAGGGACGTACACCAAGTACGGTGGTAGTCTGAAGAATGCGAAGAGGTCTTAAAAATAGTAAATCTGCTTTTAATAATTATAAAAATCACAAGACGATGATATCCCAACCATATTCTAATATAATTAACATCAGAGAAAAATCATCCCGAATTCCAAAGATATAAAATCCTTCCAAAAATCCATAATCCCAATGTTCCATAAGCCTATTGTTCTTTTGAAAAACATTTCTATTTCACTACCACCTCTGTTTTTACCTTAGGATTCCCTGTTAGGATTTGTGCCTGTTCAAGGGTGGTATTTTTGTTTGGTGTGAATCCCGTGCTGCCGCCTCCCGAGACAGGGCGTGACCGCTGTAAAGCAAGAGTGTCAGAAGAGTTATTTCCGCCTTATTGGAGCCGTGTGGACCAAGCTCGATACTAAGTACAAGTTCCGTGGGAAAACGGTCCTTTTCAGATTGTTGGCATTTTGTTTGTTTGGGTTAAGGCGTGGAGACTATGTCCTCACCTAGGATCAGGAATCGTTGTGCAATGAGATTGAGAAACCACAGAAAACCAATCTCCTCCTGTCCTTGTGATTTGAATTCGGCTCTTAAGGAGTGTGTGTGGTGCTCACTGTTTGTTGTTTAATGTTAGCATGTGTGTGTTTATGAATTGTTGGTATGTAAGTGTGATTATGATTGTGTGTTGGCTTTTTCTCTGAGTGTTTATATGTTTGCGATTGTGAGCTTGGTGGAGGTAAAGTGTATATGAGGGTAAATGCTAAATGTACATTTGAGTGATGTATGTGGGTAATGATATGTGTAAATCTGTGTGCATGTGAGTGTTGTGTTGTGTGTTTATGGGCGGAGTTGGGTAAAGGATTGGTTTATTAAATTATTATAACAAGAGGGCGTACCCATACAGTATGTTGGGACATTTGGTTGAGATAACGAATGGTGTCACTCCTCTTTACAAGGAAGACATTAAAAAGGTCGTGTGAAGGGATTTGTTTAGGTGAGTATACGGGTTGGGTTTGTTGAAGCTTTTGGGTTGTGTATTGTGGTGTGGACAGACGATAGAACAAGCCGCAAAACTGAAATGGAAATGGGCTGGACACAATGACGCTCCAGCGGACGATGGAACAATGCCATCGAAAGTGGCGTCCATACAATGCGAAGAGATCAAGAGGCAGATCCACAGATGAGATGGAAAGATGACATCAGGAAACAAGGAGGTCCCACATGGCAGAGAACAGCTCAAGATAGGGAAAGATGAAGAGAACTGGGGGAAACCTATATCCAACAATGGAAGGATAGAGAATAGGTTCAAAAAAAATGTGGTATGGGCATTTGGTTAGAATGCGGGATGGGGTCCATTACAGTTAGGGCATTTTGGATCAGATGTCGTGGGGCATGCAGTGGACCTGTGTTGTTGTCCACAGGATGGACAGATACATGACTTTTTTGGGCATTCGTTGCTGAAATGTCCACTTTTCCAGCATTTCGAACAGTATTTCAGTCTAACCGCAACGGAATTGTTAGATGTTGGAATCTCACAATGTAGTCGTTCTCCCCCGATCTTGATGCGGTTCGAAAGTGCATCGGCGAATTTAGATTCAGAGTTTGAGAAAACTATGATATAT